CCAACCATATCAATTATTATATTAAATGTAAATGTGCTAAACATTGCAAATAATAAACCAGGAATGGGGGCCAGAATTTTTTTTCTTTTTTTTTTGGTGAGGAAGATTTGCCCTGAGCTAACATCTGTTGCCAATCTTCCCCCTGCTTTTTTTTTTTGCTTGAGGAAGATTCGCCCTGAAATAACATCTGTGCCAATCTTCCTCTATTTTGTATGTGGGTCACTGCCATTAGCATTGAGTAGTGTATGTCCATGCTTGGGATCTGAACCCATAAACCCTGGGCTGCCTGAAGCAGAGCACGTCGAACTTAACCACTATGCCATGAGGCCAGCCCCTAGAATTTTAATTAAATAGTAATGGGAAATCAAAGAGATTTTAGGGTGGTGACTTGGGTTCTGATTACAAAGGTTGTTGAATTCTAAACTAATTACTCATGAGACTGTGTCGGCTCTCAGAGTTGGGTGAACTTCCCTTACAGCAGGGATATATAATCTTTAGAAAACATCCTTAAATTCAAGTTTGGAGAAGCAAAGCTTGGGATCTGAGTTCTTCCTCTCCACAGGGCTCTGGGATTTTGTGCAAATTTCTTCCTAGTGTCCAGCATTGCATAGAATAAGATTTAATTTGCCTATTTGAGTTGCATATAAATATTTCAGAGGGTCACTCAAGTGACCCTTTATTTTTCAAAAAAGATCAGCCTTTCTAGATGAAGAAGAAAATAGTACTGTGACTGTTAAAATTTCCTTGATAACTGCCTTTCTTCCAGTAAGACTGAAAGCTCTGTTTTCTTCCTCTGTCTCCCCAGCAAGTTAACCCAGTTCTTGGCACATAGCGGGCACTCAATAAGTAAACAGCAGAACATGACTCCTAGCCCTATAAGTAATTTACAGCTGCCTGTTGGACACGTTTACGTGTATACTATTTGTTAAGTTTTAAAATTAATTTTATTGATATATAAATTTTATATAGTAAAAGTTTCCCATTTCAAGTATAGAGTTTGATGAGTTTGATAAATGTATATACCCATGTAACCACCACTACAATCAAGATATAGAATATTTCCATTATCTCAAAAAGTTCCCTCATGCCTTCTGCCATCAGTCTTTCCCCCAACATTTCCTTCTAACCCCTAGCTGCAGGTACCCATGGATCTAGGTTGTGTCACTTTATATTCACTTGCATTTTCTAGAATTTATATATATATATATAAATGGAACCACACAGTATGTACTCTTCTGTGTCTGGCTTCTTTTGCTCAGTATAATGTTTTTGAGATTCATCCACATTGTTACATGTATTAGTAGTTTGTTTCTTTTTATTGTTGTTATTCCATTGTTTCCATATAGAACACTTGGTTTATTCATTCATCTGTTGATAACTATTTGGATTGTTTCCAGTTTTTGGCTATTATTAACAAACTTGCTAACAACATTTGTAAATAAGCCTTTGTATGAACATATGTTTTCATTTTTGTGTGTGTGTAAATACTTAGGGGTAGAATGGCTGGATCATTACGGTAGGGATATGCTTATAAGAAACTTCCAAATTGTTTTCCAAAGTGGTTTTACCATTTGACACTCCCACCAGCAATGCATTAGTTCCAGTTGCTCCACATCTTCACTAACATTTGAGACTGTCAGTCTTTTTATCTTTAGTCATTGGAGAGGTGGTGGTGTGTCACTTTAAAATTCACACGCTCAGACCTCTGAATCCCCATTCTGTCCCTATCTTACCAGTGATCACTTTGGACTTTCACTTTAAAAAATATTAATGACATCATGCTCAATAAATTCATGATAGAACAACAACAATAACATTAATTGAGCATTTATCCTTCTCCCAACCATAAAGTGTGAGCTTGATGAGGGCAAGACTTATCTATCTGGTTCTTTGTATCTTGCACAATGCCTGGTGCATAGTACGTACATTTATTAGTTATCTGTTGCTGTGCAATAAATTATTCCAAATATTAGCAGCCTAACAAGAAACATCTATTGTTTCACACAGTTTCTGAAGGTTAGGACTCCAGGAGCAGCACTTAGTTGAGTGGTCCTGGTCAGGGTCTATCATGAGGTTGCAGTCAAACTATTGTCTGGTGCTGCAGTCATTTGAAGGTTTGACTGGGGCTGGAGGATTGGCTTCCAAGATTACTCACTCACGTTGTACTGGGAAGAGGTTTCATATTCTAGCTGGCTGTTGTCAGCAGTCCTCAATTCCTTGCCATGTGAACCTCTCCATTAGTAGCTGGTTTCCCCAAAGTAATCCAAGTGACTGGACTCTCTTGGAGTGATCAAAGAGAGACAAAGATAGAAGTTGATTACACAGACCAAACAGGAGACGGGAGTGGTTGGGGCCATTCTGAAGGCTGGCTGATACAGTGCATAGTAAATATTTATTGATTGAACTGATGTGTGCCTGACACTCTGCTAAGGAATTCACTTACGTCATCTCATTTAATCCTGATAACCCATGGACCAGTGTCCTCATTTGAGAGATGATAAAACTGAGGCTTATAAAAGTGAAGTAACCTGTCCAATTCTACAAAGCTATTAGGTGGCAGAGCCAGAGTTCAAAGCCAGACCTCTCTAGCCCCAAAGACTGTGGAAAATGGTTCACAGTGAAAACGAATGAATTGCACTATTCCAAAAAGAAACTGATTTAGATGGTCTTTTAAATTTTGTTTATATTGAGTCAAACTCACTCGTATGTGGGGAAAGGAACTGGAAATTATATCAACAGGGAAACCCTAAAACGCTTCAGGAGGATAAAGAATTGGTTCCCTATTCTTCAACCAATAAGGTGGTGTTTTCATTTTTTCTCTCTTACCAGATTAATGTTCTTGGTGTATCCTTGGAGAATTCTGCCACTGACTTTCTATGGAGTCAATACAAGTTTGATGATCATTTAACATGCATATGGCACTGTGGCAGTTACAGGAATCTACAGAGCAAGGGAGACTGTACCTGTTTTCCAAGAGGTCACAATCTCCTTAGGATTAAGATGACACAAAGATAATCATAACACAGGGAAGTGTACGGGCCATGGAGAGGCACACAAGGAATGGTCATTGAGCCTTGAATTTTTAAAAAGACCAGTCACATCTTGAAAACACATTTAGTGTTTATTAAAATAACCTAGTGTGATAATCTCTGGAAGTCAAAAGAAGATTAAGATGAGGGAGGCAGGCCTTCTTTATTTTCATTTTTTTTTTTAAAAAGCAGTTGGAAAATTTGCAAAGATAGTGACTTGCTTACCATTCTAGACTCAATCTCTCAGTCACGAATCACAGTTTTCCACTAAAGGTGGCACAAAATGGGTTTCTGGAATGCAGGAATGAAGGAAGGGTGGCTAAGGTTCAAAGTCCAGGCAGTCTTCCGTGAGAATGTAGAAATCAAACCAAGCAAATAAAAGAGAGGGTGGAGTGGGCAGGGCGACGCAGTTTAGGGATTGAGCGGAATTAGAGAGTTAAGATGATAGTGCTGGGGTAGAAACCAAAGGTACAGGGCAGAGTGGTACTGGCCCCACCCTCACCGGGAAGAAAGGAGCCCTCACAGCAGAGTGGGAACGATGAAGCGTCCCCCTCCTCCCTCACCCGGGGAAACTGTCTTGTGCCCAGTTGGAACTCAGAGGAAAGTCTGTGGAGCCACATACGCTTTGCACCAACTAGTTACAGACCAAAATTTGCCTTGGTCATTGAGCATGCTCAGCTTTCAGTCTTCTGCAGAAACGTGGATTCCGTGGCTCCAGATTTTAGCTTTGGCAGCTCGGGGGCGGGAGTGCGAGAGCCCGAATGGTGTCTTGGCTGCGACTACAGGTGGAATCTGGTGTTTGAGTACGCTGGAAGGAAAAGCTGCGAGGACTAGGGGGCGGCCGGGCGGGCCGTCAGAGTAGACCTCGAAAAAACAATCCATCAGTGTGACTGGCTTTGACTTGGTCGGCAACCCTTCGTGAAGGAGCCAGTTTGGTTATTCCGAGATAGGGAGTGTGATACAAACAGTTACAGGAGAAGAGGGGCCAGTTCCGGGTTCTGGCCCGAGGCTGTGGGTATGAATCGGGGTCGAAGGAATGGTCGTTATCACCCAATAGTAAGCCTCCTGGCTCCTCCCCAGCTGTTCCTTCTTAGGCTACCATCAACCCTCTGCAAGAGACTGGGTGTTGGTGCAGAAACGCGAGCCAGATGGAGGATGCTCACCTGGCAGTCCCCGCGCGACCTGCCCCACCTCTCGCTCTCCTCCCTCCTCACCAGCCCAGACTAGTCGCCAGGGGCCAACATCTGGCCAGGCTGAAACAGGCTCACAAACTCACCTTTGCCAGCTCGTGTCTGCATTTGGGCTCCCGAGGGGGTGCATCCACATCTACGAGAATCTCGCAGACGCTCTGACTCCTATGCTTTTGGTGGCATGGGGAGAGGGATTTCCTATTACTACGTATACAAACAACGATTACTGAAGACGTGCTCCCAGGTCCCACCGCCTGCAGGCGGTGCCCGCGGACCAGAGCGCACGGCCCGGCCGGGGCGCCGCGCGGGGCTGGGGCTGCCGTGAGCAGCGAGCACGCAAGTGGCCGAGGAAGCAGCGGCCGGGGCGGCGCCGACGCCTCAAAAGCCCTAGCTCGAGGCGCCCACGGCGCGCAAGGTACACTTCGGGGCGGTCCCGGCTGACCCCGGAAGAGAAAGGCGTTTTGGGGAAGGGGAGCGAGGAGAGGAGGGCGAGTTAAGTCCAACTAAAGTGCAAAGTTGTCCTGCTCCGCTCAGGCCGCCTCTCCCGCGCCTCATCTGTGCCCCAGGCTCCTTCCGAGTCTGGCTTCCTGGAGGGCCCGACGCTGCCCCTGTCGCAGCCTGAGTGGGGGGACAGCGAGCGCCCGGCCCGCAGGTTCCCGGACCCCCTCCGGATCCAGGTCTCCGGGAAAACCCGGAGCGGAGCATCCCCGGGCCGGGAAACGCCCTCGGCGCGCGCCCACTGGCGCGCATGCTCAGTCGCGCGGCGGCCGCGAGTAGGAAGCTCCGCGCGGCAGTAGCGGCGGCGGCGGCGCGGCTGGAGGGCGAGCGGGGCTGGCCGGCTGGCGGGCGGGGGCGCTGGGCCGCGGCGGGGCTCCCGCCCGAGGATCCGCGGAGCGTCTCGGACCGCGAAGGCCGGCGCGAGGAGCGAGCGAGCGCGGGCGCCCACGAGCGCGGAGCGGGCAGCGGGCGGAGCGGGCTGGGAGCCCGGGTCTCCGCGGCTCGGGACCGGGTGGCGGGGGCGGCGATGTTCCACTGCATCCCCCTGTGGCGGTGCAACCGTCATGTGGAGACCATCGACAAGCGCCACTGCTCGCTGGTCTACGTGCCCGAGGAGATCTACCGCTACGCCCGCAGCCTGGAGGAGCTGCTGCTGGACGCCAACCAGCTCCGCGAGCTGCCCGAGGTGAGTGTCCGGCCTCACCTGCGCGCCGCCCGGGGGGAGCTCGGCGGGGCCGCCGGCCCTCGCCCCCTCCGTGCGTCTCCCCTCGCCTCCCCGCTTCTCCCTCCAGACCTTGGCCAGCAGGTCCCGCGGGAACCACCTCTACCTGCATTCACCTGCCTCTTTCTCCCCTTACCTCCCTTAATACCCACCCCCCCGGAGTAAAAGTTCCTTTTCATTTTGTACAAAGCGACTTGGTGTTTTCTAAGTGGTCACTAGAGCTGCGGTTGGGGAAACGTTGTGGGCTGATAAGTAGTTTAGATTCACGTCTAAGTACTGAGGCTCGGCACTGGTGCCGGGGCAGGTGAGCAGCCGGGTGGCTGGGCTGTTCCCAGCTGGTAAGGGCCGAGCCCTCGCCCCGCCTTCCCCGACCACTGGCCGGGGCGCTCCCCTGTGGCCGGAGCAGGTCCGGGAGGAGGTGGGCAGCGCGCAGGTGAGCCTCCCTGTCTGGGCATCTTCTGAGGAATGTGCTCCGGGCCTTATCGCGGATGGGCCTTGCTCGGAAGCGCTGGAGCTTGGCCGGCCTGCCCTGGCTCCAGGACCGACCGCGAGGTGCGGGGGCAGGAGGGGAGCCGTGGGCAGGTGCCCAGGTGTCCGCCGCCTGCGCCCCGCCTGCGTGGACCTGTTGCGTGGAGGGAGCCGCGGCGAAGGTCAGCAGGGGCTCTGCCGGGCGGGCCAGCCTTGCAGCCGCCTCTGCCGGGGCGGCAGCGTTCAGCTTGCTGACCTCTGCCCCTGCAGTGATGCGGTACCTCTTGAGAGTTGTTTACGTAAATTCATCTCTGTGCTGCGGCTGGCCGAGCTTGTCAAGCGCCACATGCTGATTGTGCTTTGCTGGAGGGTCAGACTGCGACCTCTTAACCTTCGAGCTGGCCTGGGGAACTTGGCCTGAGTGACCCTTAAGGAGGAAGGGATCCCCAGTCCAGGGGCGTGGAGGAAGTCAGCCTGCGGTAATCTGGAGGTGTGCAGGAATTAGGGAGACAGCTGGGGGTGGGAGAGGACCTGAGCATCCGAGCTCAAATAGCTTGCTTGTCCTTTTAGTTAATACAAAGCCAAGACCTTGTCACAGAAACACTCGCTAGTCAAATGTTCTGGCTTGTTGGAATGACCTGAGACGTTCTCCAGCGCTGACAGAGTGTTTTCAAAAGCAGAACTGTGTTTTTCTCAACACTTCAAGTGTTGTTATTCTTCGTGGATTAACTTTCCTTGCTTCGTGTGGAATTGATTGGATGGTTTGCTCTGTGTAATCACGGAGATTATCCTCACCAGGATCTTTGCAAAGCCCCCCAGGCTTTATTTAGCTTAGAAGCAGAAAAGCCATCCAGTTCCCGCAAGCGTGTGTTATTTTGCAGGCATTTTCAAACATGGTTTTGTCTGGCCTTTAGCTTCCTTAAATTTGACTTAAAAGTCATAAGCTCACTTACGATCTTAAGTTGGAATAAGGCTTAGGTGTTGCTATCGCCAGAAATATAAAATATGCAATTTCATGCTTTTCAGAGGCTTCAGAATGAAGTTATTAAAGATTGAGTGAAAAGCTATTCAACTAGAAATGTTTTAGTGCTCTTTGTGGTGTTTTTGTTTGTTTTCTTTTGTACAACTGGAAGATTTCCTTTGTGCTGGCTTTTCACTCCGTTCTGCAGAGTTTGTGGGTTTTCCTGTCATATTGAGGAATTCAGCTTGGTATGGGAAATTATGGGTTTTAGATGTGTCGGGTATTTCTACTGATCCTAAATGGAAACTTCTCAGAAGCTCAAAATAGTCTGATAGTAGTAAATATGGTAAACAAACTCTGTAAATACGGTAAATAAACAAGCTTTTCAAAGGCTAGAGGTGGTCTTGCTTATGGGTAATTATTGCTCTTACAGGTCTTAGTTTTATAGTTTTTAAGTTGTGTAGAATCTATTTCTTCCTGATTTATGGTGCCTGGGTGTGTATAAGTCAGACATGAACAACCGCCTTGAAAGCACAGGTATTTCATTCACAGTTGAAGTCTGTCCTTGGGCTCTCCATGGTTTCACCTCTGAGATCTGTGTAACTTATTAGCATGCTCATTGCTGTCCCTGCCCTCTCTCCAACCCCTGTCTCCTTACCTACCACATCACCGTTGGGTCTCTTTCGCTGACAAACCTCCAAAGGCCTTGTGAGGGTGGCCATACTGGCTGTATGTTCTCCTTTCTGTCATTTGGAAACACAGCCAAAGGGGCAGCCTGCACCCCTACCCCAACAGCAGAGATGAACACACACACCAGGCTTCAGGTTAGTGAAAGGCATCTCCTCTCCACTGAAAGGTCTACAACCCCTGATTTGCTCCAACCTGCTCATTTTACAAATTGAGACTCAGAACTGAAGTGACTTTTTCAGGGCTATCCAGATGGTTAGATGCAGAGGCGCTGGTCACCCCCCTGTTCATGTGTCCACCAACTTCAGCTGCTTTGGACACCTAGCAGGAACCTGGCCTGTTGGGCTTCTCACACCCATCAAAACCTCAGTTATTTAGCCTCTCCTGTTTTACTTATGCCATTAAAACTTGGCTTCAGTCAAGCCTTGATTGCCCCTTCATTATTTGCCAGGTGTTGGGAATATAGGTGTTAAAGAAGGTCTGATTCCTAGAAGCTGTTGGCAGCTTTGTGGGGAGACATGACTTGAACACAGATGTGGTGAGTGTGGGGGTGGAGCGGGCACCACAGCTATCAGACTTGTTGGTTTCTTACCTAATCTTCTAACCTTGAGCTGAACCTGCACCACCATTCTCCGCGGTGGCTCCGCCTTGTGATAGCCTCTCCACGCTGCTGTTCTGCAGAGAAGGCTCAGGACACTCATCCATAGCCTGGCCCCCGTTGGGTGATAGTCTCACCGTCCCTTTCCCATCCACCTACTCCACACCCCTCCCCCCAGCTCTATCTGTTTCGGATGTGTGTTAACAGAACAGAGACAGTCTGACTTGAAACCTCTTTGAGGTGCTGGTGTGTTTGTTCTCGCCCTTGTGAGCACAGAACCTGGCACCTAGTAGGTCCTGCTCAACAAACAGCTATTTATCTGTTGAATGATTGTTGCCAAGTCTGATACAGGTCTTTCTCCTCTGTTTTCTCTTACCGTAAGCATATCACTGCTCCAGCATCTATCCTGTTCTAAGTAGTCAGAGAATATTTAAGTTGGAAGTGATTTTTCAGGGCTGTCTAGCTGGTTAGATGCAGAGTCGCTGGTGGTTTCAAGTTGGAAGCAACTTCAGAAGTGAAGATTATCTACGTGGGGAAGTTGTTTTGTCTTTCCCAAGATCCTTGGCTCCCCTCTGTACTTCCTTCACGTTTCTGACACCATCACTTTTTCCCCATCCCATCACTGATTCTTGAATACCTTCAGATGTGTGTTTCCCTGTGCTCTCTCTAGCACCAGTACCGTGCGTAGTCTAATAGACAGCAGATATTTTGAATGAATACTGTCAAGCCTTTATAGCTTAAAAATTTGAGTTTCGTCTTGTCACCTCCTCTTGATTAGAGTTCAGTTGATCTTTCCATGATCACCAGATGACATCATCTCAAATATCTGCACCCTCCCATCATTCTTTCTCATATCCTGCTTTATTTTTTTCCTAGCCCTTAGAGCACTTATTACGACCTATCTCCAGACTACATACTTGCTTACTTTTCTTTGTCTCCTAGCTAGAACATAAGCTCCCTGAGGAGGGAGCTCAGGGATGTTTTTATTCATGGCTGAACCTAGGACAGCATCTGGTCCACAGTGGACTCAGATGCTTGTTGATGAATGAGTCCTCATGTGGGTTGTCATGGGTTGGCTGCCCCTGTTTCTGAGCCATCATAATTCCCCTTCCTACAGTCTGGCTTTTACTGTACACCAATCTATTGAAACTGGTCATGACACAAAGTCATTCAGAATTCAGTGGTCTTGAATTCTGACTGGTCTTGCCAGTCTTTGTTCTCCATCTCTTCTGTGCTGGGCAACTTTGACCATCGTATCTTTTGAAATAATTTTTATGCCTTGTAAACATAATTGCTATGACTGTGATTTCGACACGACCAGCTGTGATCTGTTGAGAGGATATCAATCCCCACTTCGAGTAAGTCTCTTTTGTCTTAAACCCGCCATGTTTCAGTTTAGATTTTGTCTTCTGAACTGGCTTCTCTTCTCAGCAGTTCTGTTTCTGAGGGGTGTTTCTGTTTCTTCCTGTCTCAGGTTCATGGACTTACCTTCTCCTCTCCATCCATCTTGTCACTAAGTCCTGTCATTTCTTCCATCAAAATGCTATCTTTCCTCTCTCAACTTTCTTGCTGCCACCTGGCTGGTTTCCCCTGACTTACTGCTGAAATCATGGGTTTGGGTCAGCTGATGGCTGAAAGTTGCATGAACAAAGGTTCCATGTCAGTTTGTTAGTGAAAAGTGATGGGCACCTGAAGGGGTCACAGAGCCCACGGTGGGGTGGGCACACAGGATTGCAGGCAGGCAGAATTTTGAGGAACCTGCTCCAAGGTAGTGTTGTACCATTGTGAGCAGCCATGTGGCGTCTGTAAATTGCATCGTCATCTGTCATGTTAAGTTAATGTTGAGTTCCCATTTATTGGTTTTTATCAGATTTTTGAATTGCTCCACCTTATAGTTTTATAAGAGCTAAAGCATAGGGAGGACGTACCTAGTTATATGTTTGGACGTACTTAAATTATTTTTATTATAATGTTATTTAAGTCAAAGCTTAGGAGGAGGGGAGTCCAAGAGAATACTTGCCCTTTATTGTGGGGATCCACACGTTTCTCAAGTTAGGGAAACAGTTCTTATTTCTCAGATATCCTGTTGTTATTACACAGTTTAGCACTTAATTGTTTGTGATTGTTTTATGTGTTGGTCCAACCCCCCTTCCTCTTCTCCCAGCATCCCTCCCCCCACCCTACAGGTGAAGAAGTGAGACCTAGAGAAGTTGTAATTTGCCCAGATTAGTGGAGATTAGAGCCTCTTTG